GCATCGGCGCACACAACAGCATCTCATGTGGGGATGGCAACTTCCCCTGCAACTCCACCACATCAGAACTAGCAGCTCTGATTTGGGCGCATGCACGGGCATATACGCACTTCCACAACACCACCCACAAACCCGACGTCACTATACACACCGATTCCACGATTGCCAGTGGATTCGCCAAGGGCAATGTCCAACCCAAGATACCCAATCAGATGACCGACTTAGCACGACTACTACACGACCTCACCGCCGAGACGGTAAACCCAAGCGCTGACCATGCACAAGCGCACACAGGACACCCCTGGAACGAGCTAGCAGACACTCGCCAAGGTGTACGCAGCAACGCCCAGCAACCACCGGCAACGCCCGCAAGACTGGACAGGAGCCCCCCACGCCGACAGAGAACGACAATGGGAGTGGCTACAAGAAGCGGACAGCGAAACCAAGGACGCTTACCCCACATGGGCCAACACGTACTGGAGGCACCTCAAGCTAGGAGACAAGTCCGACCGATCCATGTCGCACCACAGTACGCCGAGATTTCCAGCGACAAGAAGATCGACATCGGCATCTGCACCTAAAACGCACGCCCCTTCGAGGTCGCAGAGAAGCAAGGACGCGACAAAAAGACAAAGGCAGCCAGAATCACAATTATCCCACAGCAGCTCTCCGACATAAATGTACACATCATTGGAATGCAGGAGCCGAGACTATACCGCGTCGAGCCCGCGCAGCCGACCAGCACGCCATCATCTCAAGCGGACACGACAGACACAATTTGGGATGCTCACTACTAGTCAATACGCACCTCCCCGCCCACGACAACAACGGCCAACAGCTATGCTTCAAACCCAACCACTGGAGGATAATGACCCAGACCCCCCGACTACTTATAGTCAAGTTCTCCGCACCTGGCTTAAGCGAACCGTAGGAGTTGCACGCGCACCGCGCTCACATGTCGACGACCTTGACTGCAACCAGTACTGGGACAACACCAGCGCTGAGACGGGAAATACAACGGCGACATCATCCCCATTGATGCCAACGGCACTCTAGGCAGCACTACCCCCCCCACATTGGAGACGAAGGCCAACCCGAGGAAGAAAACAGAGGAGGAAAGCGCTTCCACGCCTACCTGCAGCAGCATAACCTCTTCGCCGCCAACACCACTATCGAGACACATGGACCCAGAACCTCAAGCTGCGCATCGACAACACCTGTCTGCCATGCGGACAAGAGCCGACCGCCAAGCACCTGGGAGTCCTCGACGGCTTTGACGCCCACCAGGAAGACGAGGACCGCTACCCGATCATCGCTGACCTGGCCTACATCGAGAAGACCAAGACCATGAGGTGCGGCATGCCCGTGGAGCGTGCGAAGTTGCGAGGTCCAAGAGCCCAACAGAAGCGCAAGGACGAGATCGCCATCATCCCACTACCACCCTACCAAGAGGAGATAAAAGACAACGCTAGCTATCTCGCACAACAAGTGCATGAAGCAGGGATCAAAGCGTTCACACCCGACGAGGTCCACCCCAGGAAGCCATACCCACAACCAACAACGTTCGCAATCATCCGCGTACGTAGGGCATGCTCACGGCCACTACGACACCAGATCTACGAAGGCCGCACCCCCACCATCAGCGCATACGAAGCCATGACAAACCCAGAAACCCCACTTGCACTTCAACGCGTAGCTGAAGAGATCATACACAACGACGCCCAGCTCGAGGAGCAAGCACGGGCGGCAATTGCAGTCCTACGCGGGTCATCACCACAGCTTGCAGGCGCCATCGAGACCGACCGCTCCAACTACCTCGAGCATCGCCAACAGTTGAAAGGACGCCTACATCAACAACGACTCCAGAAGAGTACGGGCTGACATCAGGAGGCCCCTGAGGTATGGAGGCAGACCAGGACGCATCACAGCTCAACACCCACGCGCCAATGGCACTCACGGACAACCTCTACATGATCAATGGCAGCAGGCGGAGGCTGAATTGGACCATTTCGCCATCGCGGAGCACCCGGAGATCATGGGCCCGCGGGAGATTTCCGACAAGCACGACGGTCACGCCAACTACGCAGCCACACGCAGAACGTTGTACGACACCGCCCCACAACAGTACCACCAAAGAAGGGACGAAGCGACAGTACACAGGCAAAACAAGGAAGGAGCGGAGGCCCGGGCAACCTCATCGACGACTAGTGCGAGATCGCGCCGAACGAAAATGACCAGGATCTACCACCCACTTCCCGGCGAAGGCGCAGCTGGCGACTGTGGAACCACTGTCCCACAAAGGAGGACGGCAAACGTCACTCTCCAAGCCCAAGGCAACCAAGCCCGACCTACATGCAAGGCGGATGATATCATTCAACAACATCATAGCTAAGCACCACCACCGCTTCCCACGCACCAGGGTCAAGATCATCACGGCGCAACAACTAAATACGAGACGAACAATGCGGAGCACGACCACATCAGCCCACCGATTTCATTACGCATGCGGCCGTCGGCGTCATGGACTACCTCAGCGGGAGAGGAAATCAGTTATGATACTTTTCTTGGACCTCAAGGACGCTACAGAGTGGTATTACATGTTGTTTTCCAGCTCCCACATACACCAGATGAGCTCGACGAATTGCTACACGACACCAACATGCCTTAACCATTCCTCCACGCACTACAGTTGGCCATGGAAGGAGCGCCCATTCTCAGCCGCAACGTGGCCGATGAGCACCTATGCGCACTACTGCAAGACGCGCGCACAGACACGAGGACCATTACGACAGCATCCACCAGACTGGCCCAGCCACGAACTGGCACGCGGCCCGGAGCACCAGCATCATACCTCACCCCCATCTACCACTTCGCATAGGTCACGCGACATATCGCAGGGGACATGATCGATAGCAACCTTCCGGAAGATGTCGACACAGGACGCCAAGAAGTCATTTTCTACAAGTGCAGACAAGCAAAAGACGGCGAGGATGGAAGGGGCACAGCTCACCGACACCTCCTTCGTAGACAACATGCACGCCTACGCCCGCACACGACAGAACAATGCATTTGACATCATCAGCACGGCCGAGACGCTCTCCAACATCATAGTCACATGGGCCATGGTCCATGGCATGCGACTCCACGCCAAAAAGACCTAGGTTACGTTGCTCCTACACGGGCACCGGAGCAGAACAGCCAGGGGGCAATTCGCAGAGAGGAAGAAGAAAAGGGGGGGGGACACAAACAAAAACGAGAATGAGCACCTCAGCGAGCCAACCGAAGCCGTCAACCACCAGGCACCGCTGGGTACAGCAATATACGACGGAGGGCAAGGACCAGAGATACAGCGCATAATGCGTAAAGGCCACAACGAGCAGGGCCCCATTACGCAAAGAAGTCTACGAGCGAAAACAGCTGAGCATCGACGAAAAGACCCTTCTCAAAGACGCGCTGACCACCTCGGCCCTTTTCACAACCCACACATCTGGAGCCCTCTCAACCAAAGGTAGCTCCATAGCATCCAGGTCGAGTATCTGGAGGGGTACAAGATGGCAGCTGGATACATGGCACATCCACGACCACCAGAAGTTAAACAACGGCTAAATACCTTCTGAAGTTAGACGACCAGATGCGCACATCGCCACGCGCATCTTCAGGCTGCCGCACCTACCGAGACTACTCCTATACACCCCGACCATGCTATTACGAAGCATTGACACCAACCTCAGCCGAAACTCAACATGGGGACAGATAGTATACGACGATCTACAGTGGATGTGGACATACCTCGACGACAAACACAAGCTACACCCTACCGTGGACCTCGACCCCATCGAAATGGTGACGTGCAACAATGGATGGAATACCTCGACCCCAACGACAACAGCATCATACTACTCTCCATCGACATCACCCACGACGAGATCAAGGGCGACCTCACGACATGGAACACCATGCAGTTCCGGAGAGACCACCTAATACGCAACATTGTGGCCGCGATCATAGCTGGACCACGATGCGAGACGTGGAGCGGGCACTAAGCACGACCTCTGCGGAGCCGACAACAACCTCGGGGACTACAGCACCTGTCCCTGCAGCAGTTCGAACAACTACATAGCGACAAACAGCTACTGCGTACCATTAGTCTCTTGGCATGCATATGCATCAGCACGAAAGTCCCCATGATCATGGAACACCCCGCCACAGCCAACGACGGGAGAGATACAGCCAGCTGCCGGCTACTACCAGAAATGGCAAACTTATTGGCATCGACGGGGTGGACCTTGCCGCCTTCGACCAGTGCATGACTGGACAGACAGAGCTGTGCGACCGACTACACTACTCACAGTACAGGTACCAGAAGTACGATGGACGATAGCACCACCATCCAACTGGACGGAGCAACGACGGCTCTGGGGAAAGAGCTACCACCAGGACCCACACCACCGAGATATGCAGACTACCGGCTCACGCCATCATGGACGCTATCCACCACAGATGGACACAGCCACGAGACTGCGAAAACTGGGACATGGAAGACGACATGGTGAAGTTCTGCATCCCGCTGGACCCGTGCCACTACGTCCAAGGCAGCGAAATTCTACGCGACCAGGTACCTCAGGGGGCAATGAAGCACACCAGGATGACGACGGGCGGCGGCTACCCCGCATTGCGCGGGCCACGGCGGTCCATTGGTTAGGATACAGACAGCTTCCTCAGCAGTGGTTCTGTCACGCCCCACCGTGGCGCCCGATCGCTCACCCTGTAAAAAAGACGCTACCCCCATCTCACCACCTGCACATCACCTGATAACGACGGCTGACAGATCATTAACCGTGGTGCAGCTTCGGCTCAAGAGCTAAGCCCAAGCTGACCAGCGCGCCCCTTGCGCACCCATTGCCAGGCGCAGCACACCATGAAGCCCCCTCTGGATCTACACCCTCGGCGGCTTACTACACCTCAGCACGATCAAGACGAAGACATCTGGATACCGGCAGGCGTCTTTGGTAAGCTACCGAAGTTCATCGACTCCAACGAGGTCAAGCTCCACTGCACCAACGGAGTTAACGATTTAGACTACGCCAACCAACAACGAGTTGCAGCTATCAACGCAGCTCCACGCAAGACGCGGAGCGAGGCTCCGCCAGAGTACCAGCAAGAAGGAATGCCCACACTCATGCTCCACAGCAAGGGCTACGACAACAATAAGGCGCCCATCTACACTCCTGGAGACCCCAGTGCAGAACCACAAGGAGCTACCACTCGCTCAGGCATGTGTCAGGCCATCGCAAGGAGTCAACACGTCCGACACCCTCACGCGCAACTACACGCACGTCTACCTCGACTTGGGTTACATCTACTTCCTCGCGGCATTGAAGGGCGGTTTCGTGCGCACCACCTATCGGCACCACATCACCATCGCATACCTCGCCGTAACTGGGGAATGCTGGAGTCACGAGGTCAAGGAGAGCTGGGTCACCGTGTTCGACAATTGCATGGTCCGTTCCAACAACGAGATGTGAACCGACCCAGACCATTGGACCGACCTGGTAATTGCCACTACTACCGCTCCGCCACAAAGTATCGCACACCAGAAGACGCCGCTAACGACCGCGACTCCAAGAAGATACCCGTCCACCATTTGGAGTGGCACGAGATCCAAAAGCTGGCAAGTACTGACCCACCACTGCTACACGCACCACCGTGGAACAACAAGGACGAGGAGCTCTTCACGAACTGTCAGACCCTATACATCTCCAACAACAAGGGTATAGCGCCACAATTTCGAATAAATAGAACGCAAAACCATCCACGGCAACATCGAGCGATACAGCCCGCAGGCACACATCGTGGCGATCACCGACATCTACGGCACCGTGCACCCTACTTCCGAGATTGGGATACTAGCCGCATGTGCCAGAGACATCGTGGAAACCCGCGGACGAGGAGCATCGCATCCATATGCAGACAATTACCTCCTCCCTATCGATCGCCACCACACTACTCCAATAACAGTCGGTGGGCCACAATGCGACGAGACTGACCTCAGGGGACAGCGAGTACCAGTACATCTATGCCACCAACGGGACAACGCACTCCTATCGGCATGGATGGGCACATACCGAACGCCACCACTACCTACAACGGAGATCGACCACGCGACGATCCTAAAACTGAGCGCACCCATCAGCGACCTTCCTAAATGGCCCGCCATCGTCGACAAAGCCCTCCCGGAACACTCAGCGCAGGCGCTGCGGGAGACCACAACTACTTCGGAAACATGCACAACCAGAACCGACGGAACCACGAACGTCCACGCATAGGCCACCGAGCGGGAGATCATCGTCCACCAAGCCGAGTTTATCCCCGACGGAGAGCACGCAAAGCAAGGCAATACCTCATCGACGACGAGGAGAGCCACAGTACACGTCACTTGCTTCAACATTGCCAAAAACTACGCAACGCAGGTTGTCAGCCCATCAACTGGACCCAGAGCTACTTCCCCGAGTGGCATACGGCTTTACCAGAAGCTCGACCACGACAAGCACAACGACCAGCTCGCACTACCCCCACAAATACCGACCCGCAGCTCATCCAGCGAAGACCCACACCACAGGTCAAAAAGAAAACATCATGCTATTTGTGCCGATCGTTTTCCAGCTCATATACAGACAGAACGCGACCCCGACACCGAACCAGCCGCCACCACCGCCTGGCCCACCCCCAGCCAGAGCCCCCATACAAATCATCACAACGACGCCAGGGACCAACCGATACTTCCGCAGCCCACGCGCCCCACCAAGTTACAATCAAGGCGAATCGCTACGACCTTACCCATCTCACCACGCTAAAGTGCCACCAGACTGGACCGCGCACGCTGACGTAACGAGAAGCCTCGCCTACTACCACAACCTGGAGACAGGCACCACCCAGTGGAAGTTCCCAGGCGACGCCAATTACGAACCGCGCTGCGCTCGGCAGCTAACCGACCAGAACATCGAGGCCTGCAGCATCAACAAAGACGGCTGCCCCTACCACAGCCCCAGGCCGATGCGCCCCCCACCCCACAACGACCACCCCCCTATACAAGAGCACCCAGTGAAACGAGAGCAGGCCGACAAAGCCACGACACAAACCATCCACGACCTATTCGACAAGATGCGGACCGAATACCAACGGGAACCAGACGCACGCGAATGGGTCAACCGAGCACATCTATGGCACAGCGAGCACGCAGGCGGGACATTCTTCCCCCACCTCAAGGTCAACCAGGATTCCAAACCATTCCTCCTCTTCTGCAACAACTTGCTCGTGGTCGCACTTATACGAGAGGGAGCCTCGCACCCTCCACGCGCAAGCCACATCATCCATTGCATCAAGCAGATATGCAGTCCCAAGCCAATGATGGCACCATATGACGACCACGGCATCTTCGAACGCGAGATCTATATCGAAATACTACCCCCGCGGGAGCCGGCCTCACAGGGAGAACCCACATGGAGGACACTACAATGATGACCGCAATCAACAACACAGCCCACCTATCGAACACTGCCACACTTCCGAGCAGTGGCAGTACAATCACCAGCACAACGCCAGCGGCCACCCCCCTGCAGGCGACTTCCAACCCAGCCCACCAAGCCCCCCTGAAAGTGGGCCTATCTCAGGAACGAAGCCAAGGAGATTTAAGGCCCCACCTACCCTGCCGACCGTCAAGGAAGACAGCAGAACAGCCACAGGACAAGATCGACTACGAGGACAAGATCGCACAGCAGGAGCACGATGCAGGGGAAGATAACATTCACACTACCGCATCCAGCAGCTGCGACCCGGCGCCAAGTACCAGCACTCCCGCTGCAAAGAGCAACCAACCACTTTCCATCCAAGTAGAGCCACAGAAGCCCACTGGATGATTCCCGATCACGACGATCACCCACAAGAAGGTAGACCCCGACACAATCATTTCCCCCATGGGAGCTACAATATGCTATTCGTACCCCGCCAAGCTGGAGGACTCCATCGCCCACGGCACCAGCACGGCTAACGAGGGCGACGAGACGACAATCCTCAATATGCTTTGCAACAGCAATTACGACCTCTGGGCACGTTGTACCATCATTCTGACCAACAACATACGAAGTACCAAACAAGCCCTGAGATCAGACATCATCACCGAGCACCGCTCCTACCGCCACAACGCCCAGGAGAAGCTCGACACCCTCGGCATCCTGAAGGAGACCACCACGGCCAAGGACTCTGCCTCCAAGTTCCTCGACAAGCTCAACGACTACGTCGACCAACTACGTCCCCAACCACTGGCGATAGCAACCCTCAAAGCCTGGACGGCCGACGTGGTGCCCACGCGCCCGTCGCCGTCACAGCACCACCACCCACCACGCCCTTTCCGACCTTTCCGCCACGTTCCAACCGACCTCTTCGACTCACACTCCAGCTCTCTCTCTCTCTCTCTCTCTCTCTCTCTCTCAGACTCCCACGGCTCGACCTACCCCGAGCGAACCAGGATTATCCTTCTTGGACGCCACTAGACTGAGGCCATGCCTCAGGGTCGGACCGACCTCACAGCGGCTGACCGTGCGACCCCTTCATCTCACGACGAGCGCACATCTTGTCCCATCTCCCTCGCCAGCGGCAGAGCACGGACGAACGGCGGCAATACCTCCACGAGGAAGGCACGGAGTACGGCGATTACTTCGATTGCACCGCCTACATCAATTTCGTCTTCGATCAGATTCCATTTTTCTTCCCCAACCTTCTCCACCTTCCTGGTCCTCGCGTCTCGCCCAGCACCTCCCCCCCCCTCATGTGGAGTCGGGATGGTTGGGGTTCTCATGAGCGGAAAGGGGGTCACTCAGCCATCGGCGGCACGGCGTTGGCCATGCTGCCGCGGCTCTATAAAAACAAATGGCGTGTCCTCACCACCTCACCTCACCACCGCCATTCACCTCCCTGGACGACAGTTGCAGTTTACTGCCTTCGACGGGGAAAGCCGAAGACAGATCAGATCCACGCGCGGTGGAACCCCCCCAGACAGCAGACATCACCTTGGACCAGGTACCCTACTTCCTCCTCGGAGGCGGAGGGCACCAGCCAGGACGGCGCTTGCCACCTAGGGGGGGGTGGGGGCTAATGGCAGGAGCTGAGGACCTTGCCTTCGGCCGCGCCGCACCGCGGCGCCCTCGGAAGGGCCCCGCGAATGTTCTCCAACAGTTTAGCCAGCAAACCCACCACCTCCTTCCCTCACTGCCTGATGTTTGGTTTTATGCTCCTACCTCCGCGCGTTCTCTTACATGGCCACGAGGGCCAGTACATTGCCGTTCTACCTACCTCCCCGCATCCGTGCATCCTGTTACAGGGCCACCAGGGCCAGTACACTGCCGTTCTACCTACCTCCCCGCAGCTTCCTCGCTCGCTGTTCCAGTGCTGTGCATCCTTTGCCGCCTCGGAGGTTTACCCCGCCCAAGAAGAGCCAGCGAACTGCAGCACCCCACCCCCAAAAAGAGCAGCCACAGCGGCCCTCAGCCTCTCAACCCCAAGAGCGAGCCACAGCGGCTACCCCCAGGCGGCTTTTACAAAACGTAGGCACCAGTCTCCACCCCCCACCATCATGCACTCTACTTCATATCCTGGCGCCACCTCAGATCTCCAGCGACGCCTCAGACCTTCACTGTGGAAGGGGGGCACCACAGGGGAGCAGACGGGGGGGAGACCGGGAATCCGAAGCGCGGTGCGGCTCGATGCCTACCGCTTAGCTCTACCCGTCTTTCTATTCTCACTTCTCCCTAATGAACCCCCCTCCAGCTCGGGCCCGCAGCCGAGGGGGAGGGGAAGGACGGGCGGCTGCACGTCGACGATCCACCGCCCTGAGAGTGAGTGATTGAGTGAGTGATGATGTAGCAGATGATGGCGGGCTCCAGCTTCACTCCCAGCATCTCGCTGAGAAGCGCTAGGTCCAGCTGCCCCTGCCCCTGCCAGTCTTTCTCGCACGCATTGGTCGGGGTGCTGGAGTAAATGATGGCGGGCTCCGGCTTCACCCCCAACATCTCACAGAACAGCGCCAGGACCATTGCTTCTGCAAGTCCTTCTCGCCCGCGTTGATGGGGGCGCTGCAGCAGACGGAAATGGCGGCGCGCTCCATCGCCACCCCCATATCACTCGGAGTAGCGCCGCGATCGGTCACCGCTGCTCCTGCCAGTCCTTCCCGCACGCGCTGATCGGAGCGCCGTAGCACGTGACGATATGGTGGGCTCCACTTTCACCCCCATCATCTGGCGCCAGGACCAGCTGCCACTATCTCCGTCAGTCCTTCTCGAACACGCTGGTCGGGGTGCCGGAGTGGACGACGATGGCGGGCCCCATTTTCCCCCGCAACATCCCTCGGAGTAGCGCCACGATCGGGGCGCTGTAGCAGATGATGGCGGGCTCCAGCTTCACTCCCACCTTCTCGTTGACCAGCGCCAGGACCCGCTGCCACTGCCTCTGCCATTCCTTCTCGCACGCATTG